TGGGCAGAGCCGCTTTTCACACTGTCTCTTACATTCCTTGAGAACACCCTAGTCAGGGTGAGATAGATGCGCCTTTCCATCTCTTTACCTCTGTGACTACAAAAGAATTCCACGCCCCACTTCAGCCGGAGCCCTCCTGCCCATTAGCTTAGGGCTGACCTCTCTCTCCTCTCTTGTTTTTTTTTTTTTTTCTCTTTGGGTCACACCCAGCGATGCACAGAGGTTACTCCTGGCTCTGCACTCAGGAACTACTCCTGGCAGTACTCAGGGGACCATATGGCATGCTGGGAATAGAATCCGGGTCGGCCGCATGCTAGGCAAATGTCCTTCCCACTGTGCTATCGCTCCAGCCCCAGGACTGACCTCTTTCTCCCACTGACCCTGGGTGCTGCCACTTTCCTTATAGTTGTTGGCAGTTTCTCCATGGTTCTCTCTCTCTCTCTCTCTCTCTCGCTGTGTATGTGTGTTTATGTGTGTGTATATGTGTATGTGTGTATATGTGTATTTGTGTGTATGTGCGTGTGTGTATGTGTGTGTGTGTGTGTGTGTGTGTGTGTGTGTGTGTGTGTGTGTGTGTGTTGGTTCTAATACCTCCCAGCCACAGGGGACTCTTCATCTGTCTGTCCTCCCCAAGCCGCCACTCAGCCAAGTGGTTCGGACGGCTTTTGCTCCCCACCTCCACCCCCCCAGGTGTGGGCCTCACCCAGAGGCTTTGTTGGTGTGTTTTTGGTTTTCTTCTGGTTGAGAACAGCCCTGGACAAACTCCTCTGCAGCTATGCCCGGGCTCACGCGAGTCTGCCTCAGAGTCTGCACTGACGTGTTTTGTCAGAATGTTTTCTGAGGTGTCTTGCTTTCTTTCTCAGAAGCCTCTGTCCTCCCCAACGTGCCCCTGGAGCCAGTCAGCGCGTGACATGGGACAGACTGGCAGCAGAAATAGTGCTGGTGGCCGACCGTGTTTTTCCATAGGGGAGAAACCCAAAGCGCGTTGCTTTTAGCCTTTGGAACGCGGAGGCGGGTGATTTCCCTGCGGTTTCCCAGAGGTTTCTCTGTTTCGTTTGCTGCTTGGTGCTCATGTTTGGGGGGAGCCGGGGGCCTGTGGGCTGTGCTAGGAGGTGAGGCGGGCAGGGCTGGCTTTGGCCTTTCCAGGGGCACACCACGCGGGCTCCCGGGGACAGTCTGCACCACGATGTGCTTCGTTGGGGTGGGGTGGGGGCCGGCGAGGCCCTTCTGGCTTCTCCTGGGTGATGGATGTGGGCTTGGCTCCTCCAGCTGTGTTTTGGGGCTTCCATAGCCCTGGTCCCCTGGGTTAAGGAAAACACACCCAAACACTTGTGTTTTGGCAGAGGGGCGACGAGCGCTCAATAGAGGCTTTGTCTTGGGTGGTTTCCCTCGTCCATCTGCTCTCGACTTTCTGAGCTGTCTGCAGGCTCAGGGGAGAGAGCCCGGATGATCCTCGGTGCTCGGGCGCCTCTGCCCCTGCCCCCTACCCCCAGCTGGGAACCAGAGTGCCAGGCCTCACTGGGTGCCCAGTGCTATGCCTGGTCAGTGCTGGCTGAGTGAGGGGACGGATGAAAGGGCTGCTGGGGGAGAGAGGCCTCTCAGCAGTCACTCCTCGGCCGCCTCGGCACCAGAGCATGTGCCGGTCAGATGGCTGGTGGGATTAGCGGCCATCTGTGGCGGGCCGGGCACCGGCTTGCCGCCAGGATTCTGAGCCGGTCTGTGGGTGGGAAGCTGCGTTTGCCTCTGCAAGAAGCACACGGGGGTCTGGACTGTGACCTTGGCCTCATTAGCCTGAGATAACTGGCTGGGCCTGTTTGTAATCATTTGGAAGGAGCTTAAAATGGCATCAGTTTCCTTCCTGTGGTCCTTGCCTTGCCGCTGGTGTGGGGGCTGCAGCTGGGCCCCCGTCGGTCCTTGAGCAGTTATTGAAAGCTCCCGCGGGCCAGAATCCCCCACAGATGAAAAGCCAGGCCCTGGATGGGAAAATGCCCATGAGCAAGGGTTTCTGCAGCCCCAGGTTCCTGGCTGAGACCTTGCTGGGGTCTGGGTGCCAGGTCTGTGTCCCCATGGTTGGGCCTATCCTGCCCACCCTTGCCAGCCCAGTCTCTCATGCACACTTCCAGCATCCCCCCCCACCTCCTCTTCTTCTCACCTCTTCTTTTTGTCTCTGCTCATTCTTCCCTGTCAGTTGTTGTGAAACTCTTGGTTCTTAACACCCTTCATGGAGTTGTGGGGAAACAACCATAGGAATTTTTTGTTATTCGGTTGTTGTTGTTGTTTGAGACCAACAGGTAATGATAGTGACCTGTTTGTTGGTAATGGGTGGGAAGAATCGGGACAGTTATAAAACAGAGCCTTGAATTTGGTCAGGCCTTGGGAGTCAGTCACACTTCGTAGACTGAGGGCTGGCAGGGAAGGTGCTGGAAGAAGAAGAAGAAATCAGAGAGGACAATCAGCAGAAGGAGCCCCGAGGGGGACACGGCCCTGGGGCTGCGACTCTTGAACCTTCCTAGAAATGAGGGACAGAGTGCAGAAGCGCGAAGGCTGCCAGAAACACAGTGTCCGTTTTGTCAACTCCAGACCCCGCCCTCACCGGCGTGCAGGGACACACACGGGTGTATTGGACCTTCAGCGAGCCAGCTGAGCTTTATTGATGCTCCACTTCCCCGGAAGCAACAGGTGCCAGAGGGCAGACCCCAATGCCCGCTGCTGTGAAAATGCCGGTTCTCTTGGAGGCAGTACTGGAACATTCCACGAGGTGGAGATGTTGTGCCTTTAAATGCCTGCTTCCCGGCGTGCTTCCAGGCCTACCTGCCTACATGATGGAGCCCTTTCTCTGCCTAAACTCCGGCCAGTTCCAGGAACCCCCACCTGCCTTTCTGGGGGAAAGAGCACCTTTTCCTCCTGTGCAGTCTCTCAAATGGGTTTGGGGTGTAGTTTCCACTTGACAAACAGAACACACAACCCTCCCCTCAGTCCTGAGTGGGCAGGAACTTCCCGGAAGGCACCCAGGGTGGGTGAAGGGGCTGTGTCTGTCAGGGGTTAGGTTGCAGGGGCGGGAGGGGGGGGGGGCGGTGGGAGAGATGAGGGGACAATCCAGTTTGTGATAAGTTCACAACTGTGCACATCTGCCTCCTGCACGCACACGCAGGCACCGCCTGTCCATCTATCCATCTGCTGCCGCTCTCAGTACACACGCTTGTTCATGTAACCCATCTTCTCTGGCCAGGCTCATCCTAACTCCTTTCCCATTTCTTTACGCTTCAGAGGAGCCTGCAGGTGTGGTCAAGTCTCTTCCAGCCACCAACCGTATGTGCTTTTCCTTGGGGACACCAGGGGTGGGGGGATGGGCTTTGGGCGCTTGCTAGAGGGGAGAGGGTGCTGGTTGCCAGGGATTGAGGTGCACCCGCAGGGCTCCAGGACCAACCCTGGGCATTACATTTCTCCTGCTGTTATTTACATATATAAATACACATATTTATATATGCAAATAACTTGGAAGGCTTTCCAGGGGATCCCCTTCACCTTCCAGTCCAGCTGGGGCTCAGTGGATGCACTCATTCCAGCAGGAAGGACTCAGGGCTGGTGCTCCACTAGTGAAAATTTGGGGTTGGTGTTTCTGCAGGGATGACTTGAGGTGTATTCTCCTGCACGGAGAACTCAGGGTTGGTGCTCCCATAGGGAGGATTCAGGGCTGGTACACCTGTAGGGAGGACTTGAGGCTGGTATTCCCATAGGGGGAGGTTCAAGGGTGGTGCTCCCACAGGAAGGACACGGGGTTAGTGTTCCTCAGAGAGGACTTGGGGTTGGTGCTCCCACAGGGAGGGCATGAGTTAGTGTTCTTGAAGGGAGAACTCTGGGATGATGCTCCCACAGGGAGGATTTCAGGTTAGTGCTCCCGGCGGGAGGACTCTGGGATAGTGCTCTCACAGGGAAGATTTAGGGGTGGTACTCCCAAGGGAGGACATGAGGTTAGTGTTCCTCAGGGAGGACTTGGGGCTGATGTTACCACAGGGAGGGCATGAGTTAGTGTTCTTGGAGGGAGAACTCTGGGATGATGCTCCCACAGGGAGGATTTCAGGTTAGTGCTCCTGGCGGGAGGACTCTGGAATAGTGCTCCCACAGGGAGGATTCAGGGGTGGTGCTCCCGCAGGAAGGATTCAGGGCTGATATTCCCTCAGGGAAGACTTGAGGCTAGTGCTCCCGCAGGGACGACTTGGTGCTGGTGCTCTCACAGGGAGGCTGTTGTGAGGCCATTGGGAACAGGAGGGTGAGCTGAAACTCACAAGACCAATCATTGTGCAGACCGTGCACAGATCTTTAATGATATACCCTGTCCCTCAGCCTGGCCTCCTGGTTCCCTCACCAATTGGTAGAGCCCCGAAGGTGGACAGTGCAGAGGCATATGGGTGATTCTGCTCCAGGGTACAGAAATGCCCTCTTGCTCAAACCTCTCATTGCCCCAAGCCTCTCTCCAGGGGCTCAGACTTAGGGACCAGTGCTCCTGCCACCTGTAGTGGCCTGCAGGGCAGCCCTGCTAGACCATTCCTCCCCCCCCCCCCCCAGCCTTGCCACCTAGCGGGTCCCCCATCCTGGCCTCCTGAGAGATGGTTTCTCTGGCCTCTGCCCAGGCTGGGGAGCAGGGAGCGGTGGGGAGGTGTAGGCTGGGGTGTAGTCGCAGAGGGGCAGGGCAAAGGGGAGCCTGAACCCCAACTCTGCATGTTGCATGTTGACTGAGACCCTTTGGGGTCCTGGGCTTCCTCCCCTGTGAACGGGGTACGTGGGAGTCTGGAGCAGGCCAGGGGGTGCTGTGTACAGAAGCAGCGACATAGTGGGGACCCTCAGGACCTCTGTTCATGTGTGTGTGTGTGGGGGGGGGGGCTTGATCACATGCCATGCTGGGCACCTACAGCCAGGGATGGGCTCGAGCCCCAAGGGGGTGGGCTTGAGTCCGGAAATCTGCACTGGGCCCTTCCTTTCATCCTGGCCTTGTCTCCTAGTGGATGACCACCTGGGCTTCCTCCCCACCTTTGGGCCCTGCTATGTCAACCTGTACGGCAGCCCCCGGGAGTTCACCGGCTTCCCGGACCCCTATGCAGAGCTCAACACGGGCAAGGTGAGCCGGCTAGAGTCCCCGCCCCCCCTTCCTCCTGCTCGTGGAGACTGCGCACATGGGGGTTTTCTCACCTGGTGGGGCCAGGGGTTGGGTCTGCTCTGACCCAAGGGAGATGGGGGAGGAACAGACCCTAGTCCTCGAGTTCCCCGCACCCGGCTGTCCCGGCTGGCCCTTTCCTGCTTCCTCTCTTCCAGAGCCAGGCCTGGCTCCATTTTTCTGTGCTGTCCTGGGAGGGCCCAGACCCTGCCTGCATCGGACCTTGTCTCCCTTGGCCAGGACGAAGCTGGGTTCCCAGCCTGTGTGCCCTGAGCTCTGTGTCACCGCTTCCTCACCTGGGTGCCCCGGGGGTGAGTGACCTCAGGCCCGAACAGCCCCTGTTCACTCTTCTCAGGGGGAAGGCGTGGCTTACCGAGGCCGGCTCCTCCTCGCCCTGGAGACCAAGCTCGTGGAGCACAGCGAGCAGAAGGTGGAGGATCTCCCGGCTGATGACATCCTCCGGGTGGAGGTGAGAGGTCGGCTCTGGGCGGGGGCGGGAGGGCCGTCAAGGGCACTGGGAGGGGACTCGGCCTCCCATGCATGCCTCACCCTGCTGCTTCTCTGTGCCCTGGGAGCCATCCTGCTGCTCGACGGATAAGGAAAGTATCCTCACGGTCTCAAGCTGGGCGCTGAGCCAGGGGTTGGGCTGCCATCAAGCCCTCCAGGCCCCCCGGTGCAGGCTTTGCCGATGTCTCCGTTGATGGACAAGGACACAGACTGCATGCATGAAGGGCCATGAGGGAGCTGGGTCTTGGGTCCAGGCAGCGGCCCCATGGAGCTCCCCTTCAGCCTGTACCCCGCCATGTGCCTCTGGTTTCAGCGTTGCCGGCTACTGTGACTTCCCTCCCTATCAAGTGGATGAAGTGATCATAGCGGCCCCAAATTCAAACTCAAACAGTTATTGATTAATTTTTTTGTGTGTGTATGGGGGCATATCTGGAAGTGTTCAGGGGCTACTCCTGGCTCAGGTCTTGGGTGTTAACCCAGGCAGTGCTCAGGGATCCAACAAGTGCCAGTATCTGAATTGGGGCTCTAGCCACCAAAGCCTGGTACCCTGTCCCTGTGAGCCATCTCTCAGGCCCTGCTTGGAGATGGAAAGGACATGGCCAGAGGCAGTGACCTCTCTCTCTATCTGTGAGGCGCTTTCCTTCCTGTTTCCCTTCTCCCCGCGTCTGGTTGTATAACCTTTCTCTCTGCCTACCATGAAGGGCATCTGAAGGTCATCTTGGTCCACATGGGTGTCTGTGATGGATGCCTGGCACTCCTCAGCCTGGTGCCCAATGCCCAGAGGCGACCATGGGATTCGGTTACCAGGGACTTGGACATGGGGACCTTGGTGCTGGCAGAGGTGTGGAGACCCGGGCAGGGTGGGCCCGGGCGCTCTGGGGGCCAGAGGCGGGAGGGCTCTCCTGCAGCACACAGGAGGCCCAGTTGCCCCAAGGTGGCAGGACCGCGGCTGCTGGTTTGGATTAAGGCGCGGCCTGACCTTGGGAGTAGACCTTATTAGAGGAACGTGGCCAAACACACAGGCCTGGAAGGAGTTTGTTCAGTTTGTAACCAAATCTGGGCGCTGGTGCTGAGCTAGACCAGTCACCACCCGCCCATCCAGCCAGGATTTATTGGGCTCCAGTCACGGCCTGGGCCTGCCAGACACATGACCCCTGCCCACCCGCCGTCTTCCTTCTCTTCTTCCCCACGACCCCCTGGACGACCGCCTTCTCCACACCCAGAAGTACCTTCGGAGGCGCAAGTACTCGCTCTTTGCCGCCTTCTACTCGGCCACCATGCTGCAGGACGTGGATGCCGCCGTCCAGTTTGAGGTCAGCATCGGCAACTACGGGAACAAGTTCGACACCAGCTGCCTGCCGCTGGCCTCCACCACGCAGTACAGCAGGGCGGTCTTTGATGGTGAGGGACCCCCACCTCTGCTCACGGACAGGCCTGTGATCCTGCTTCTCATGGGAAGTTCCTCATGCCCCCCACCAACACCCCGTGTCTGGGGGAGGGGGCAGGGGACCCGCTTGTCCAGGGGACCTCGATCCCTTAGTCTCCTCCTCTCCCTACTCACTGTGGCCCGGGTGCCGTTCCAGGCTGTCACTACTACTACTTGCCGTGGGGCAACGTGAAGCCCGTGGTGGTGCTATCCTCCTACTGGGAGGACATCAGCCACAGAATCGAGGCTCAGAACCAGCTGCTCAGCATTGCAGACCGGCTGGTGAGTGGAAACCCCAGCCCCACACGAGAGGAGAAGGAGTGAGAACAGTGCGAGCCCACCCACCCCTCCCTGTCCCCCGCCCACCTGATGAAGGATGCAGCACAGAGAAAGAACTAAGAGAGCTGTCCTTAGGAAGAGCAGGGTAGCACATACCTGCTTTCTTTCATCCTTTCCTCACTCGCTGTCTTTGACTTTTACCCACCTGCAAGGACTTCTCCTGAAGACGTCTAGAAACTTCTAGAAGGCAGACATGAGCAAGGGGCTGCCTGTGTCTTTGGGGAGTCAGCCTAGTGAAGGGGAGCGGAGTTCACTCCTACTAGACACAGATACCTAAACTTCCATGTCATAGGCGTCACCCCAGAGGTTCCTTGGTGGGGGGGTGGGAAGGTTGGGGGCCACTAACATGGGGGTGTGTACTGTGAGTGTAGATAGGAGGCTAGAATCCAGATGGGACACGATTGTGGGGGTCCAGAACAGAGAAATGAGGTGTTGGGAAGGGGAGAGAGAGAGGGAGGAAAAGGCCATGACCGGATCATAAAGAACCCAGTGATCCAGTGTGATCCAGAGTGACTCAGAGTGATCCAGTGGCCAGAGAGGAGGCAGGGCTGTGAGGACCTGCTGCATCCGAGGAGAGCAGTGTTTGAGGTTAGGCGGTGGGTCCTGTCTTGAGCATGGCCAGGGTGGTCAGCTGCTGCTGTGCTTGGACAGAGTAGAGGCTGGTTAGTGTGGGCAGAGGACTGAGGGGAGGCAGGGTTCTGGGTCATTTCAGATGGGGTGCAGGGGTGAGGCATAGCCCGGGGAGCAGGAGGAGGCGATGAGACCCCTGGGGAGGGGCACACAGGCCGCTGTCAGCCACACTAGGGCCGAAAATGACTGGAGTGGCCAGTCTCACGTAGGACATTGACTGTGGGCAGCTGGGTGGTCCTGGGCACTGGTAGGACGTGCCAGAGCTCCCGGGGGGAGCCCCAAATGTCTCAATGGCTCTGGATGGAGAAGGAGCTCTCTGGGTTAGCACGAGTGGGATTCAGACAGGAGGGCAAATTGCTGGGGGGGACTGCAACAGGGGCTCCATAGGCCCCCCTCTGTGTGCTGGCAGGCCTGGCCGGGGCCCACCCAGAGCAGGACGCCACGGGGCTCCGTGGGTGGTTCCCGTTGCTGGGCGGGAGGTTGGCGTCCCAGGCTTGGATGTTGGCACGTATTTAGTCAGGGAAGATCCCTGAGCCAGGGCAGACCCTGGCTGGTGGGGTCTGGGCTCCCTCTTTGGCTCTGAGGGGTCCCCCGTGGCACCTTCCCTGGCCAACCTGTCCCCGCAGGAAGCCAGCCTGGAGCACGTCCACCTGGCGCTGAAGGCACAGGGCTCCTTGGAGGACCTGGACGCCCTGGTGGCGCAGCTGATGGATGAGCTCATCGCAGACTGCAGGTAGGGGGTGCTGGCACCCACCCCCGGCTCCTGGCTCCCCGAGGCCCTCTCCCGGGCCGTGTTCGTGTGTGGCGGAGAGCGGAGGCACGTCCCCCCAGCCACGCTTGGACAGCAGTCCAGCCCGCACCAAGTCCAAAGGTGGTGGAGCCAGCGCAGGGAGTTGAAAAGGTGACATTTAGAGCAGGTCATAAATCTCTGCAGCGGCGGCAGCTGTGGGCCAGGGAGGCCAGGCCCACCTGAATGGGGAGCATTGTGTCTGATCCCCGACCCCTGATTTCCCTGATGGAATCTCCAGGAGGAACTGGGCGGGGGTGGGGGTGGGGGCTCCTTCCCCCAAGGCCATGCTCTGTGTGTGTGTGTGTGTGTGTGTGTGTGTGTGTGTGTGTGTGTGTGTTGGGGGGGGGGTGGAACCTTGGTTTCTGTTTAGACTTCTATCCACACTACTGATTGTCAGCGTCAGGACAAGGGGGAGTGATGGAGAACGGGGGTGCCCAGAGGTCCACCCCCACCATTCCTTCCCTGCCAGGATAAGGTTGGGCCCAATCCCTGCACGGAAATTCGATTTCCTCAACTTCAACCTGACCTTAGAAATAAGGGTTTTGATAAAGTCCCATCAGCAAAGTGCCCAGCTTTTGGGAAGCCTTTAATAAGTGGGCACTGTAATTTCTGTTAAGAAGGAGTGGGAGGTGAGATCCTCGCCTTACATGGTACCCAGTTCACATCCCCAGCGCCCCAGATGGTCCCCTGAGCACCACCAGGGGTCACTCCTGGTCACAGAACCAGGAATTGTCTCTGAACACTGCCAGGTACGGCCCACTCCCCACCCATAAGTCAGGGACGAGGGTCTTGTCCCTTTAACCAGCCTTGTGACTTGCTGCACCCTCACTTCTCTGGACCACATTTTCTCAGATTTTATCTGGACTTTACAGTGGACAGTGTTGTCTCTGTGTGGGAAGAATGAGCAGAGACAGGCGTGCCCCTTCTCCGTCTTGTCACCCAGCCTCAGTTTCTGTCTGAGCATCTGCTCTATGTGGAGACGCTGGGAACCATGGCTGAGGGACCCACCCCCACAGCTCCGTACCTTGGCTCTTACCTGGTCAGGAAGAGCATTTTTTTCCTATTTTTTTTCTTTTTTGGATCATACCTGGCAATGCACAGGAATTACTCCTGGATTTGAACTCAGGAGTTACTCCTGGCGGTGCTCAGTGGATCATATGGGATGCTGGGAATCGAACTCAGGTTGGCTGCATGCAAGGCAAATGCCCTACCTGCCGTGTTATCCCTCCAGCCCCCAGGAAGGGCATTTAAATTAATTTTTTTTGGCTTTAGTCTTTTTAGTTTTGGGGCCACACCCAGTGAATCTGAGGTGTTACCCCTGGCTCTGCGCTCAGGAGTCACTCCTGATGGTGCTTGGGGGACATATGGAATCCCCGGGATCAAACCCAGGTTGGCCACATACAAGGCAAGTGCCCTACCTGCTATACTATTGCTCCAGCTCCCTGGGAAGGTCATGTTTAACCCCTCAAAACCTCCCCCAAAGAAACGGTCCCTCCCATAGGGATAGAGTTCCAGGGGTCTTTTTTTCCTTCCTGGGGTTTTGGACACCTGGGGCTTGTGGACAGGGTACAGCTCAGAATCTCCTGAAGTCAGGGGAGCCACTGAAGTCAAGAAGTCACTGAAGTCAGGGAAATCAGGGAGCCACTGAACTCAGTGAGCAACTGAAGTCAGCGGGGGCTACTGAAGTCAGGGGAGTCACTGAAACGAGGACAGCTATTGAAGTCAGGCAGTGACTGAAGTCAGGGAGCAACTGAAGTCAGGGCAGCTACCGAAATCAAGGGTGTCTCTGAAAGTCAGTGGAGTCACTGAAGTCAGGGGAGTCACTCTAGTCAGGGGATTCTCTGAAGTTAGGGAAGTCCAGTTGAAATCAGGGGAGCCTCTAAAGCAAGGGGAGCCACAAAAGTCAGGGAGTCACAAAGGTTAGGACAGTTACTGAAGTCACAGTGTTGAAGGGGCAACAGAGGTGTTTGGAGCAAGTGAACTGCGTTCAAATCCTGATATCCAGGGCCTCTTCCTGGGGGAGGGGACTCCTATGGTGGGCTTTGACAGGGGCAGAAGATGGAGGTGCCTGCTGCCCCAGGCAGGATGCTGGATCCCAGTGGGGTCACCCCTCTCCTGCTCCTCTCTGGCAGTTGTTTTTTTTTTGTGGGGGGCACGCATTGGTCCTTGGGGTTCAGAGGCTCACTAGGATTGCAGTGTGAGGGATGGGTTATTGTTGGTGGGGAGGATAAAAGTGTCACCTAAGGCAGGGACAGAGTGGGGTGCAGCCCAGGGAGGCAGAGGGGAGCTTCGGGTTTCCTCATGAGCCCGTTTCAGACAGGCCCCGAGACAGTCACCCGGATGATCCTAAGAAGCACAGGAGACAGGAAGCAGAATGGTGCTCTCCAGAGGGAAATGGGGGCTTTGGTGAGCACCCTTGCACCCTTGAGTGTTCCACACCCCCTTACCGTGCAGCTCTTGAGACCTGTCTTAATGGTGGAGGTCCAAGCAAGGTCTGGCGTGAGACCACAGCACTGGCCATGGTGGGGAATGTTGGGGTGTGGGCCTGGCTGTGCAGAGTGCCAGCTCTCAGCAGCCCTCCAAGGGCTGGAGGGACACTCAACTTAGCAAGGGGCAACCCCCGAGCCTGGGGGTGGGGTCTGGGTTCTACCTCCAGCCATGTGCCGGGCTCCTAGGTCTCATGGCCTGTGGTGGGGCTGAGGGGCCTGAGACATGCCGCCGAGCCTCCTCTTGGGGCTCTTTCCGGAGGGCCTGGCTCTCAGCTCTTCTGCCAGACCTGGCCTCTCTTGCCCCTCCAGTGGACAGATGGGCTATGTCTCCCTGGCCACTGGTCCCAAGTGTGGAGCTCGGGACAGGATCGTATCCACACGGCCACACAGAGGTTCTCCCTGAGGATCTAGCCCTGAAGCGACTAGGCAGTGCCAGGGTACCCACAGGAGGCCCTCACCCTGCCACCTGCTGGGCAGCACCAAGGCCACCAGAGAGTGACAAGAGTGTGGCCATGCCAAGGCACAGCCAGCTGGCCACACATTTCACCTGCTGCTCCTGCCCACCTGTCCCCATCACGTCTCCCTGGACCTCTGTGTCCCCATGTCCCAGGTCATTCCCCCACCTCCAGCTCCAGCTCCACACCTTAACTTCCACACCCAAAGGTCCAGTCCTTTCCCTTCCACCTTCATCACTCAGGCCAGGCTCCACTCAGCTGAGCACTGGCCCCCTGGGCTTCAGGAGTCCTGGCTCCCGCCCTGGTGGGCACGCCTCTTTGAACTCAGACCCTATCGCCTAGATCCCTTCCAGCCCTCCTGCCTCTGACTGAACCTTCACCCTGTGTACATTCTGTTCCTTTCACCCTCAGCTCCTTCGCTGTGCCGGGTGCAGCTCAGGCCACTTCCTCCAGGCAGTTCTCCTGACATGGAGGCAGCTCCCAGGGGATCTTAGTCTTATTTGTCTCTCTGTCTGGGGACAGGACTGGGGCTGACTCTGAACGCTGTCACCGGCTTGGACTCTACATAGTGGTGGGGTGTAGCAGGAAATGCCTGACCTAAGGCCATGCAAGGGGCAGAGGGCCTGGACGCTGGCCCCGAGAAGGTGCTGATTGCTGGTTGGGGCAGCTGGGGAAGGCTGGCTCTTGTTTGGGGCTAGGGTGTCTGTGCCATAGGCCTTCTCTTTCCAGCCTCATCTCTCTCTCTCTCTCTCTCTCTCTCGATCTGGGAGGGGGAAGCACTACTCCTAGTGATGTCCAACTGGACAGTGTGCGCCTGACCATTTACTGCTGCTGTGGTCAGGCTGTGCTGGTGTGTGTGTGTGTGTGTGTGTCTGTGTGTGTGTGTGTGTGTGTGTGTGTGTGTGTAGGGTGGGGGGCAGGGCTATACCCTTCAATGCTCAGTGGCCATACGGTGCCGAGGCTTGAACTTGAGGCCTTACATGTGTAGGCCTCTCTTTTCCTGTCCCCGCCGCCCCCCCCCGAGTTTCCCTTTCTTCTTGTGATACTTTTAATTTTTATTTTATTTTATTATTATTATTTTTTGCTTTTTTGGGTCACACCCGGCAATGCTCAGGGGTTACTCCTGGCTCTGCACTCAGGAATCACTCCTGGCAGTGCTCGGGGGGACCATATGAGATGCTGGGGATTGAACCCAGGTCGGCTGTGTGCAAGGCAACCACCCTACCCGCTGTGCTATCGCTCCAGCCCCATTCCCTTTCTTCTTGTACCCCAAGCCTTCCACTGCCCCAGGCTGGCCGGTCCTGAACCTGCTTGTTTCTTGGGGAGTCTCGTCTGGGCTGGTGGCCTCCACGGAAAGTTCCCCTTGGTGGTCTGTCTGTCCGTCTCTCTCAGCTCCTGACCCAGGCCAGGAGTGTAAATCTCCCCCCCGTTGGCTCGGCAGTCAGAACCTCCCCCTCCCTCCAGACTCCCAGCCCTCGCTTGAGGTCCACTCCGGCCTCCTTCCCAGGGAGGCCCCAGCCCAGGCCTCTGGCCCAGGCCCCCCTTTACCAAGAGGCATGCCTCTCCGCCACATTGGCAGTCAGACGGGTTGGGGGTGCTGGCCGCCCCTCTCCTGGCCTGGGGCAGCCCGTCCGCGGCACCCTCGGGCCGTAAATATTATATTACTACAGGGTGTGCAGTACGTGACCTGAGACAGGCCCCGGGGCTTAAGTTCCCCGACACGGAGTTTGCGTCCCGCTCCCCCCCCACCCTAAAAATTCAATTAAAAAAAATAACAGGAAGAATGCAGTGCGCCGAGGGCCGGCCAGCGCGCTGTATCTGGCGGCAGCGGTGCGGCGGCGCTCCGGCGGTAATTGGTTCTGCATAGCTCGGGGAAATTGGCAGAAAAATAAATCAGCCGGGAGCGGGAGTCAGACCTGCGGGGCGGGCGGGCGGGGAGGGGGCGGGCGAGGAGGATGGGGAGGTGGCGGGGAGTTTTGCAAGTGGTGGGAGCAGAAGTGGAGGAGCGGCTTTGAACGATGTCCCGTGTTGGGGTTGGGGGTCAAGGGTGGGGGGGTGGGGGGTGGGGACAGCATCTAGAGCCTTGGGCAGGGGTCCTGGCACAAGCACAGACGTGCCCCTCCTCCCCCATCCTATATAACCCTGGGGCATCCTGGCGGAACCCTGAGCTCTGTCAGCCAAGGAGGGTCCGTGGGGAGGTTTGCGAGGGAGCCCACTGGGACAGGCGGTGGTGGTGGTGGTCTTAGTAGGGTGTCCGGGGGTCTCTACCTCCAAATAGAGTGGAGTTTAAACGCAGCCCTATGCTTGGAGCCTCGGGCTGTGTTTCAGGGACTGCGTGTGCCCCCCACCCCTCTCCCAAGGCTCCCCGAGGCAGAGGGTTCTGGGAGGGGCGCTGTGGGGCCGCCTGGGCCGACACAGCTGTACTGCTGGCTGCTGGCCTCCCAGCGGCATCTGCAGTGGCTTCTCAGGCCTCCATAAATTTCCCTCTTGAACAGAGTGTGAGCACCACAGCGTGCTTTGTTCCAGCCAAGAGCCTGTGCTCCGGGAGGGGCCGAGGGCGGGGTGGAGGTGGGGTGGGGTGGAATGGGTGTGTGTGGGGGGGTGGGCAGGTGCTGCACCCTCTGAGGGCGTGCGGTCATTTGGGGATGGGGGAGAGAGGGCAAAAGGACCTTTGAGGCTAGAGATGGAGGGTAAACTCCAAACGGGGGGGGGGGGGGCGGGTGGAGATCTCCAGAACCCCAGGGCTGGGAACTTCAGAGCAGGAGGCGGCGGGCTGGGCTGTGTAGTTGGGAAGGCTTCCTGGAGGAGGTGTGGGGGGAATGCAGATCACACAGGGGGGTGGGCACAGGGTCAGCCTCAGGGTATGGGGGTCCACAGTGCGGGGGGGGGGGCACGCATATGTCCCTGTGTGCCTGCTCCTCCTCACTGGGCCCTGTCTGCCTCCGACAGCCAGCCCCTCCGTAACGTCCAGGAGGTTCCCGCGGCCACTCACCTGGACCAGTACCTGTACCGCCTGCGCACCCGGCACCTGCGTCAGATCACCGAGGCCGCCCTGGCCCTGAAACTGGGCCACGGGGAGCTGGGCCCTTTCCTGGAGCAGGCTGAGGACTGGCTCCTGCGCCTCCGTGCCCTGGCGGACGAGGTAGCTGGCCCAGGCCGGGGTGGGGACACGACCCCTCCTGCCTGTTTGATGCCACTCCAGCCCCGTCTCCACCACAGACTTCATGTCCCGCACCCTCCAGGGCCCCTTGGCAGGAGGAGGCAGAGCCAGGGGCCTGCATGCCCCCGGCCCTGACCACTGTGCCTGCGGCCTGGCCCTGGCTTTGAGGCCGCCTATGATTTTTGGCTTCCCAGAGACCCCTGAGTCCCAGGCTTGCGGGGGCTGCACCTGCAGTCAGTGGGCTTTGCTGGATGGACCCAGAGGAGAGTGTTACCAGTTTCGGTGACTCTCGCTTCATTCTCTCCCCCACCCATACCTCCCAGTGCCGGGTCACATGTCCTGGACCAGGCCCCGGGCCAACAGGAAGCCCATGGATTTGTGCAGGACCAAGAGGAAGGTTCTGCTTCAGGGCCACTGGGAGGCCAGCAGCTCTGATCGGAGCTGCCCTGGCCCCTAGGGGATGGGGTGGGCTCTGGGGGCAGGTGCTAAGGACGGATTTCCTTGCACTATAGTCGAGAGACAGGGCCTAAGAAAGGTGCCTGGAGAATAAGTGTTTGGAGGGGAGAGGCAGGGGTGGTTAGGCAGGGAGGGCAACCCCAAATGTCGGGGTTGGAGAGTCAGCCTAGTGCTCTCTGGGCTGGTCCTCAGCAGGCTCCCCTCGGGGACACCGTGTGTGTCCCCATTTCCCTCGGAGGCCACAGACCAGCCCCTCAGCTGGTCCTGGGCTGGGGTGACGACTCAGAGAGCCGGAGCACATGCTTAGCAGGCAGGAGGTCTAGGTTCCATCCCTGAGTCCTGACGGATCATCACTAGAAGCCACCTCCGAGCACTGTGCCAGGAGTCGCTCTTGAGCACTACTGACCGGGGGGGTTCCCCAAATGTAAAAGAAAACAAAAAAAAACCCAACACTGAGCCAACCACAAAGCCCAAATCAAGTCCCAAACTCATGGCCCAGTCTGGCCCCAGGAAAAGGCTCTCGCCTTTGTGTTCCAGAACCTTCTGTGTAAGTGGGTGCTGGCGACTGCCTGCCACTGTGTGTCTGGGGCAGAGCCCGGGAACATGCATTTGCACCCAGCTCCCGGGTCCCTGTGCGTCTCAGGGATCTGCTCTGCAGTCCCTGTAGGCTGGTTGCCACCCCAATCCCTCTGGGTCCCTTCAGCACTCAGCAGGCAAGAGAGGCGACTCCTGGCACAGTGCTCGGAGGTGGCTTGCCTGCTGAGTGCTGAAGGGACCCAGAGGGATTGATCTGGAGGGGCTGGGTAACACCAGCCCCAGGTGCAGTCCCCAGAAGGGATCCAGTCCCCCACATTTGCACAATGTGGCTCCTTCTGGGGGCCGCCCACTCTGTCCCCAGCCTCTAAGGGACTCAAGCCTGTGACTCCCTCTGTGCTTCTTTGCCCATGCTGTGTCAGAATGAAAAGCATCATCAGGCCACAGGGGTGCCTGCTCTTTGTGGGAGGGGGACCGTGTCAGGGCTGACGGGAGCATCCCCGTGTCTGTAACCCAGGCACATCTCCTCTGGGAACCCCGGGGGGTCTGTTTCCTGGATGGAGAGAGGCCCGAGCATGTCAGCTGGGGTACCATGCCCAAGCAGCTTCCCCCGAAGAAAGCAGGAACACAGCTCAGTCACCTCTCTGTGTGTGGTCTCCCCCGGGGGTAGGTGGGCACCCGGCGGGGGGCCCCCACTCTGAGACTTCGGGCTTGGTGCAGAGCTCAGGGGAGACTGTGCAATCCCTGTGCGCTGACGCCGCCCGCTCTCCCCAGCCCCAGAACAGCCTGCCCGACATCGTCATCTGGATGCTGCAGGGGGACAAGCGTGTGGCCTACCAGCGGGTGCCCGCACACGAGGTCCTATTCTCCCGGCGAGGCGGCGGCTGCTGCGGCAAGAACTGTGGGAAGCTGCAGACCATCTTCCTCAAGGTGCTGCTCTCGGCCTGGGCCCGAGGCTGCCCCTCTCTGCGCCCCCCACCCCCACCCCTCTGCCCCAGGCTCCCGCCCCCCCCCCCCCACCCCCCACTGCTCCCATCACCCTTGCGAAGTCCTCGGGGCCTCACAAGCTGACATAGGAATCTAGCAGGCGAGCACTCGGGTATGAGGGGTCTGGGGAGAGCCTGGCCTGGCTGTGTCGTGGGTCTCCGTCCTCAACTCCCACCCCAGGCTTAGCGGCCAGACCCAGCCCTGTCTCCATGCCCCACCTTGGGTTGGCTGTGCTCCCCGTGGGGAGGCCAGCTCTGCCCTTTCACCCCTCACGTCCATCCATTGTTCTCGGGGAGAGCAGGGGAGCCGCCTGAAGACACTCATCCTCCTCAGCTCGAGGCTGCCGTGGCTGGGCTCTGGTGCCGGGGACAGGGTGGGTGGGGTGCCGCCGCCTGAGCATTACTGACCCGGGAGGGGGGGGTCCCCCAAATGAAAAGCACCTACTTACACAGAAGGTTCTGGAACCCAAAGACAAGAGCCTTTTCCTGGGGCCAGTCTAGGCCAGGAGTTTGGGTCTTGGTTTGGGTTTTGTGGTTGGCTCAGTGTTGCGGTTTTGTTTTTGTTTTCTTTTCCATTTGGGGGACCCCCTTCCTCCGGTCAGTAGTGCTCAGGTGGCGGCACCCCACCTGCTGGGGCTGCTCCCCCGCTGGCTCAAAGGGAGACTTGGCGTCTCAGGGCTGCCACGACAGTGGCACGTGCCTCACCCCAATGACTCCGTGGTCACTGCAGGTGTCTTGCAGATGGTGGTCACCTCTCGCCCATACCGGCACCCGCCCCCTCTCCCCACTTTCTAGTTAGTCCCTGCAGATGGCCTTCAGCTTGTGCCTCTGAGAGGGCTGATGAGCCCAACCGCCCTTCACCTACCCACTGGCCGATCTCATCCCTCCCCGGTGGCCAGGGAGGACAGGGTCCCGTGCTTGGTTCCATGGGAAGTGGTAGGTTGCTGGTCTCCTGGGTCCTACCTTGCAGGCCTCTGGGCGTCTGCTCACCTGGGCCATGAGCAGCAGACAACCCTATTCTGGGTCTGAGGTGGGCCTTGTTGGAACTCGACCCAGGAAGACTGGCTTTTCCCCATATTCTTTCTTTTTTTGGGGGGGGCATGGGAAGCTCCCCTGCTGCCCAGGATGTCTTCCCCGCACAAAGGCTGGAGAACCATCCAATGCTGGGGTGGGGGGAGAAGCACATGCCACAGGGAGAGTGGGGGGCTCTGGTGGTTCCGAGGAGAGACCAGCTTTGGCTAAGAAAGAGAATGAGGGGTGTCAGGCCGGAGGAGTCTGTCCCTCCCACCTGCTCACCTGTCACCTGGGGTGTCCCCCGCCCATCCCCCATTACAACATCCAGCCACTGCCTGGTCGGGGAGGAGGGGAAGGCAGAGGGGGTTAGGTGGGGCTGGGTCCCACGCGGGCAGACGCCGTTGCGGGCGTGGGATCCGGTGCATGTGGGAACGGGCCGAGCGCAGCCTCTGACCTCTCCGCTCTGCCGCTCGGGGAAAAGACCAATTGAAAAATGTCCCCAATTTCAAGCAAAAGGAAAAAAAAAGATAGAGGATTGTTTCTCGAAGTCTTCCCCACTGCGTTTATGAGCCTGCCGGCAGCTCCTGAGCAAGCGCTACAAAAATGTTGGCAGCAAGCAGAGACCAAGAAAACATTGGTGTTTCTTAACTTAAACCAAAGTTGGAAAAAATGAGCTCCAGCAGAGAGGGAGAGGAGCCCCAAACTAGACATTTCTTTATTTGCTGTTGCTATTTTGGGTCCGGCAGGCTGGCCCCGTCTGGGGGAGGGCGAGAGACTGGGCTGGGGAGGGGAAGGGGGGGTCAGGCATTCTTGCCATCTCCCTGGGGCTGGTGGTTTGGAGGGAAAAAGGCCAGTCACCCCCGGGGGTGGGGAGGGGACAGCTGAAGTGACCGGTCCTGGGTTGGCTTCTGGGGGGCCAGGTCTGTCCAGGCACAGCTGGCGGGGGTCCGGGAGACTGTCTCCACCTTGCTATATGTTCGTCACCCTCTCCCTCCCGGGGACCAGGCCTCTACCTGTAGCTCCCGTTCCTGATCTCACTCCTCCTCTGAGCCCTCTGAAGCTCCTTCCTCCGCTCCCTGAGCCTAGAGGGTGTCCCCTAGGCTCTGCGCAGGCCTGGTGTGGAGTGTGTCACCCGCGCTCTGTGCTCTCCTAAGAGTGAAGAACTTTAGCTACCCGGGACCTGGCGTCCACCCTTGATTTCAGTCACCGGGGAAATGGTCGTGGAGAATCAGATTGTTTTTGTTGTGGTGGTGGTTATCCCATTTTGGCTGAACTTCTGAAATTCCAGGATGAAAAGCAGGGAATAATGTTTACCATGCAAATAAAGGGTAGGGGTATCAGATACTCTCCTAACATCCAGCACCCCCAAAGAAACGAAACAAAACAAAAATAAATGCCCCCCCCCAAACCAACCCCCCCCCCCAAGCTAAAAACAACGCTGGGAAGCTTTAGCTTCTTCACCTTTAGACCTAGATCCTTCTGTCTTGTTCTGAGGCAACGTCTTAAACTGTTCAGCAGAGCAGGCTCAGATGCCTACTTAAGTTTATAGTGACTAAAGTGAAAAATGGCTAAACACATTCACTAGTTGCGTGGCCTATGGCTGCAATGCTGACCACGCCGGATGAAAACCGTTTTCATGGTTAACAGACCATTCCAGTGGACAACGCTATTCTAGAGGAAACCAGAAAGGATTTGTGGGGTGGGACAGAGGGGAAGCATGGGGGTCCCCAGTGTAGCCCAGGCTTGTGTCTGCAGATAGCACCGAGGCAGGAGGTACCCATTTGAGGGGAGGGTTCTCGGTGGGAAGGGCATGGGAGCAGCTGCCCTAATTCTCTTTGATGAAATTCTGAATAGTCCTGCCACAGCACAAGTTCCCGAGGATGGAGTGTCAGCCCAGTGTGCGCAGGCAGCACCCCTCTAACCCTGACACCTCCCTCTCTTCTCTGCCTCCTGCACTGCAGTACCCCATGCAAGGGGCACCCGGTGCACGGATGCCAGTGCAGATCCGGGTGAAACTTTGGTTTGGGCTCTCAGTGGATGAGAAGGAGTTCAACCAGTTTGCTGAGGGCAAGTTGTCGGTCTTTGCGGAAACCGTGAGTATCCTTCTCTTCCCCTCCTCCTCTCACCCCCTTGTCGCCCGCGTCCCATTACTGCTCCCCCCATCCCCCCACCCCACCCCTTACATCTCTTTTGTTCCCTTCTCAGTATGAGAATCAGACCAAGCTGGCCCTGGTCGGGAACTGGGGCACCACGGGCCTCACCTACCCCAAGTTCTCAGATATCACGGGCAAGATCAAGCTCCCCAAGGAGAGCTTCCGCCCATCAACCGGCTGGACCTGGGCTGGAGACTGGTTCGTGTGTCCAGAGAAGACGTGAGTTGCGGGCAACGAGGGCTAGGGCACCCTCGAACTCCTTTCCCTGAAGTGCATCAGCCCCCTGCACCCTGTATTCCTCCTCCCCACACCTGTGCTCGGGACTGGAGCATGCCCTTGGCTGAACGGGGCTGGCCTCAGCTCTGCCACCATGAAGTCCTCTGTCAGGAAGCTGGAGTGACCTCCTTTAAACCCATGTGTGCCTCCTAGTCCTCCTCAGGGCCAGGGCCTGGGGCTCTGAGACACTCCCAGGGCCTCTCAGACCTGCCTCGGTCTCCTCTTTCCAGTTTGGTTGACTTTTTCCCCCCACTCCCCTTGAATATACTTGAATTAGAAGCCCAGACGGTTCAGGGCTTGGGTACTTGCCTTGCATGCAGCCAACCCTGTGCGGATTCCCCAGGGCCACATATGGGCCCCTGACCACTGCCAGGGGTCACTCCTGAGTGCAGAGCTTCTGAGCTCCCCAAAACAAGACAAGCAGAAAACATCAGAGTGTAACACAGACCAGAGCCCAATAGGAAGGTGGGGTGCCTGTTAGTGCACACGACCTTTGTCCCCTGACCCTGCGCTCACCTCACCTCCCCACGCCACCTCCAGGCAATGGGTGTCTCTCTCCACCCTGGCCATATCTTCTTTTTACTTAATTAAAAAAAAAAAAAGGATTGAGATTCCGTGGTACTATTAGTAATGGGAACTCATGCACACGATTCCAACGAACTTCACACCTCCCTCCTGCCTCCTTGGGTCTCTGGCCCTCTTGTCGGCCGCTCCCCTCCTCCTCTCATTACTGTTGGGCACAGGGTGAGTGCTGTGCTGGAGGGGGTTGCAGTTGAGGGTCCCTTCAGCGGAGGCTCTGGACCTCCCGCCCCACAGCCTGCTGCATGACCCAGACGCCGGCCACCTGAGCTTCGTGGAGGAGGTGTTTGAGAACCAGACCCGGCTCCCGGGTGGCCAGTGGATCTACATGAGTGATAACTACACAGACGTGGTAGGTGGAGAGCCTGGGCAGGGGGCTGGGCTGGGCCTGAGCCATGCTCCTCCCCCTCACCGCCCCCACCCCCACCCCCAGGTCCTGAGCCAGCCAGTTGGCCTCTGGGTCATGGGCTGGGAGGGGGGCGGTCGCTGTGGTGTACACAGGCTGGGATAGCCCCTCAGCCTCCATGGCAATGTCCGTGTCTTCTCATCCTCCCTACTCTCCCTGTGACCCCAGAACGGGGAGAAGGTGCTCCCCAAGGACGACATCGAGTGTCCCCTGGGCTGGAAGTGGGAAGATGAAGAATGGTCCACAGACCTCAATCGGGCCGTCGATGAGCATGGTGGGCAGCGTGCGGGGCCGGCTGGGGACCCCATCCTGGGCATCCTGGTGGGGTTTGGGGGGGTGCATGGCCCTTCACTGGAGACTTTAGGTGGTGGTGGTGGTGGGGATCCTGGGGTTACTTCACCCTGAGCTGTAGTTTCATGCATCTGGGAGTGCTGGGGTGGCTCAGGAGAGAGTTGAGGGTGTGTATGCCCCGCCCAGGCTGGGAGTACAGCATCGCTGTTCCCCCTGACCGGAAGCCCCGGCACTGGGTCCCTGCTGAGAAGATGTACTACACACACCGGCGTCGGCGCTGGGTTCGTCTGCGCAGGAGGGACCTCAGCCAGATGGAGGCGCTCAAGAAGGTGAGTCAGAGGTGGGGGTGGCAGGGGGTTGGGGTTGGGACACAGCTGCTCTGCTGGGGGTGCAGGGCCAGGCAGGGGTGCTTGGGGCATGACCGGGTAGAATGACTCAGTGGAGATACACATGGATGATAGCACATGCACCATGTCACGGTCACCTCAGCACTCAACTATATACCCAAAAATGACACAGTTACCCACAGACTTCTCAGAGGCACTCACAGATCACAACAGGCACGCACAGATCACACTCACAAGGCCCAGATCACACCAGCATGGCACACACCCACAGATCACACCTGTACACAGATGCCCACAGACTATACCCGGCACACACAGGTACCCCTAGATGATACCCAGCACACACCGACGCCTACCTCACACCCAGCACATATATGATCACACCCAGGCCTCAGAGACGGCCACAGCTATGGAAGGCCACACACTCAGTTTCTCGCCCGTGGCCAGGCACAAAGACACAGTCAGGCTGTGTCCATGTGGCAGGGCCTGAGGTGGGGACTTTCCTGCCTCCAGTTAAATGATGCAGTGTTTTCAGGGGTGCCAGGGGCTGGGTAACAGTCTTTTATTTTTATTTATTTTTATTTTTTAATTGAATCACTGTGAGACGGTTACTAGCTTTCGCATTTGGGTTACAATCACACAATGATCAAAGACCCATCCCTCCACCAGTGCACATTCCCCACCACCAATATCCCCGGTATAACCCCCCTTTCCCACCCTCCCCCTGCCTCCATGGCAGACATGATTCCCCACAATCTCTCTCTACTTTTGGGCATTGTGGTTTGCAATACAGACCCTGAGAGGTTATCATGTTTGGTCCTTTATCTACTTTCTGCACACATTGGGACACAGTCTTGGGCGACGTGGCATGGGCCTGCCCTAGGGCTTGCTGAAATGCACCCCTCACGCCCCCAGGCCCTCTGCAGAGCCACACACCCATCCTCATGGGTGGGTACATGGTGGGGTTTGTGCTCCAGCTCTCCATGGGGAAACAAGGGTGGTGGTCTGGGGTACACAGTCTCCCGGGAGCCTGCTCTGCCCCGTCTGAGCAGTTCCCTAAGGAGGGGCTGCGGATGCCAGAACTCACATGGATCCCCGAAGCCCCCCAGCACTGCCCAGCGGCAAGACCCAGCTGCCACGTTGCACCCCTGCCCGCCCGCTGCTCCTGTAGCCTCACAGCTGCCGGTGTCCGGCACAGCCCTGGAACCTGCCAATTCTGAGCCGAGTCTTCCCCTTCTCAGCAGGTGTTAGCGGGGGACCCAGAACCAGGCTTCCCCACCCGGTCGTCCTGTCTCATGGGCGTCTAGAGCCACATGTCCCTGGGTCCAGGAGAGGACAGGTGCTTGGCCCACTGTTCTCCCGGTGCTATGAACCGGCTGGACCCGCTCCTGGCTCCTGGCTCAGGGCAGGGAGGTGAAGCCAGGCACCTTCCTCAGCAACTTCCCTCCTCAGGGACATGAACTTGGCCCTTGAGACCTGTCCCTGGGCTCGTGGCCCAGGCCATGATAACCCTCCGCAACCCAGTCCCAGGCCTAGTCTCTGGGAGAAATAGGCTGGGAAACTTCATTTCAGATCTCCGCTTTGCCTCTGAGGGGCAGACACTTCCATTTATTTGTGAGCTGGGATGGTGGAGAAGAAAATCTTGGATTCAAGTAACCGCCATGTCATCCAACAAACTAACTAAGCACCCATCTCCCAGTGTTCTCAGCAGTTTACTGCACCTTTTCTTTCTGATTCTTTGCTTTTGCCCACACCCCAGAAGGCCTCTTTCCCCGACTTTTTAAAAAAATTTTTATTAGTGAAACACCATGAGGTACAGTTGTAGACTTACAAATTTTTGTGCTTGGGTTTCAGTCATACAGTGTTCGAGTACCCATCCCTCCACCAGTGCCCATTCTCCACCACCACTAATCCCAGTATCTCTCCCCCCCTCCTCCCCCCATCCCCCCCTGCCTCTATGGCAGGGCATTCCCTTTTGTCCTCTCTCTCCTCTTGGGAGCTGTGGTTTGCAAAAGAGGCATTGAGTGGCAATCATGTTCGGTCTATGGTCTACTTTCAGCATGCATCTCCCATCCTGGGATGGTCCTCCCAACACCCTTTATTTGGTGCTCCCTTCTCTACCCCTGACTTTCTGACCCACTGCTAAAGTGGCTCAGAGCCTCCCTCCTCCAAGAAGTCCTCCTGGGTTTTCCCAGCCGGAGGATTCGGGTGAGGATGTGGGTGGGGAATGGCAGAGGGCAGGAAGGGCACAGCAGCCCACAACTTCCTGCAGATTCGGCCGCCAGCCTCTGATGTGCCCTGTGGTCCACATGCAGCACAGGCAGGCAGAAGCAGAAGGCGAGGGCTGGGAGTATGCCTCCCTCTTTGGCTGGAAGTTCCACCTGGAGTACCGCAAGACGGATGCGTTCCGCCGCCGCCGCTGGCGCCGCCGCATGGAGCCACTGGAGAAGACGGGACCGGCAGCCGTGTTTGCGCTTGAGGGGGCGCTGGTACGTCTTGGGATGGTGGGTGGGGGGGGGGCAAACTTGATTCCGAGGCTGTTCAGAGACGAGGTGCAGTTCTGCCCTTTGGACCGAGCTCCCTCTGTGGTTGCAGTTCCGGGTTCCTGCGGGGAAAGTGGATGCACCACGGTGTCCCCTCATAGGAAGCAGCTCCTTTCTTGGTTCCCCTGCTTTTTCAAGTGGTCAGATGGGGATGGGGGATGGAATGGGCCTCCTGATGCCCCGACCCGGCACGGGGACCTGGTGAGCTAGCTGGCCTGGTCTGGCAGGACGTCTGCTCTAGTCCATGGTTGTAACTAGAAGGGCCTAGAGGCCCCTGAGTAGTCAGCCTATCTCTGAGTTAGCCAACTCTCTGAGGACATGCCCCACCCCCCCGACGAGATGAGGTAGGTGTCCCCACGAAGCTGTCTGAGAGGGAGCAGTGAGTGAGCGCCAGGATGTAGCTTGTGTGCCGCTGTGGATCAGGGGACCCATGGCACAGAGGGTGAGATTTCCAGGAGGAAGTCATTGTCACTGTCATTGTCTTCCTGTTGTTCATTGATTTGCTTGAGCGGGCCCAGTAATGTCTCCATTTTGAGACTTGTTGTTACTGTGCTTGGCATATTGAATATGTCATGGGTAGCTTGCCAGGCTTTACAGTGCGGGCGAGATACTCTCAGTAGCTTGCTAGGCTCTCCGAGAGGGGCGGAGGAATCGAACCTGGCTTGACCAGGCTGGCCGTGCGCAAGGCAAATGCCCTACTGCAGTGCTGTCACTCTAGCCCACGAGGAAATCAACCTTCAGAAATCCAGCTGGGGGTGGGAGGTGGGGTGTAGCAATAGGACAGTGGGTAGGGCATTTGCCTTGCATGTGACCAACCTGGAGTCAGTTCTTGGCACCCCATGTGGTCCCCTGAAGACCAGCAGGAGTGATCTCTGAGTGCAGAGCCAGGAGTAAGCCCTGAGTGTTGCTAGCTGTGACCCAGAAACCAAAGAGAAGAAATCCAGCCAAGGCTGCAGCTCCATGGGGGATTTGGTGCTGGCATTGGGGCACAAGCCCCCAGTTCTGGTGGCTGGCAGATCGGATTTGGTGACTGTGTGGCAGCTGTGTGTGTGCATGTGGGTCTGGGCAGCTTGAGGAGCAGTGGGTCTTAGTGCTGGGCTGGGGTGGGACACACATCTGCAGGGCTCTCCGCAGCTCCGGGTTCTGCTGGGAGGGGAACGGAGACGGATGGGGCTGCTGGACAGTGGCAGGATGGCTCTGTCACTCTCAGTCAGGATGGCGGGCCAGAGGAGAGGAAACGGTCTGGGGCCAGATGCCATCAGAGATGCCTTTTCACAGGGCCTGGAAGGAGCCCCACCCCAGTCACGTCCTTGGGGGAGGCTGAGGAGATGGCCATGCCTTGGCTTTATGGGTTCTGAGCAGGCGCTCAACTGGGCATGAGCAGGATGGAAGGGGACTAGTGCCCGGGTGGCTTCTGTGTGTGTGTGTGTGTGTGTGTGTGTGTGTGTGTGTGAGAGAGAGAGAGAGACAGAGAGAGAGAGAGACAGAGACAGAGACAGAGAGAGAGAGAAACAGAGACAGAGACAGAGAGACAGAGACAGAGAGAGATAGAGAGAGAGAAGGAGAGGGAGGGAGGGGGAGAAAGGGAGAGACAGAGACAGAGACAGAGAGACAGAGACAGAGAGAGATAGAAAGAGAGAAGGAGAGGGAGGGAGGGGGAGAAAGGGAGAGACAGAGACACAGAGAGACAGACAGAGAGACATAGACAGAAGGAGAGGGAGGGAGATAGGGCGAGAGAGAGACACACAGAGACACAGAGACACAGAGAGAGAGCGAGCGAGAGAGGGAAAAGGAGAGAGAGATATTATGTGTGTATGTGTGGCAGGGCTCTCCTGTGACCAGAGTCACTGTCTTCCTCACGACTCTGCTGCTGCGGGGTGGGGGGTAGAGCCCTGGGCCGGCCCCAGAGGCAGAATGGGGGTCTGAGCAGGGCAGGCAGACGGCCCCAGAGCTAGGACCTATGTTCATCAAATGGGAACTCACCTCCAGTGGGCTCAAGACAGGAAAGGGCCTGAAGGGCTGCGGGCTGAGAAGCCCCGGAGGCAAGGCCGGATGTGGCACTGAGTCGGGGTCCCCAGTGCCCAGGCCTCCGAGGCCACCTGATTCTCCATGTGGGCCACTTTCTCACACTGCCTGGGAGCAAAGACGGTGCCGAAACAGAAGGCCAATTCCATCCCACTGGGGAAACAGCACAGCCGGCCCCGCCCGCCGTCATCCTCTGCCCTCTGCCTGGAAACCCTGAGCCCCCAGAGGAGAGAGTGCTGCTCTCTCACAGAGCCGGGCACTGGGCTCGGATCTGTCTGACCCGTCCAGCCCCACATCAGTCCCCGAGCTGAGACTGAGGAAGAGAAAGTTCCGGTTGGCTACCCTGGGCCAGGCCTCCTTCCTGTGGTTGGTAGTATTGCCGGATTATGACAGAATCACGTGGAGAGAGAAAGAGAGAGAGAGAGAGAGAGAGAGAGAGAGAGAGAGAGAGAGAGAGAGAGAGAGAGAGAGAGAGAATCCAACACCCAAACAGGACAGGGAGAAAAGCCACAGATGCCGTCCGTGGTCTCTGTCCAGGCAGATGGGAGTTGGAGGGGCCAGGGCGTGCTGTGGGCGGGGGCGTGTGCTGGTCCTGGCTGACCACAGAGGCTGTGCTCCTGGGGGGACCTGGGGTTAGAGGACCAGGTTCCACTGGGGTGGGAGTCGGGGAACAGGGGGAGGCAAGCGTGGCAGAGTGTGAGGAGGGGGCTGGTGTCAGGGGACCTCCGAGGCTCTGTGGGGGGTAGAGGTGGAGTCACTCCCCTGGGCTGGCCACAGGGTGGGGTGGGCCTGGGGCTGTGATGAGTTCACAGTTGGCCCCAGCAAATCACATTCACACACACACACACACACACACACACACACACACACACACACACAGCGGGCTGCCTTCCAGGCGGCCCGGGGCAGGGAGCTGGGAAGACTCCGGGCCGACCACACGTCAGCCGTGAGGTGAGGGGCTGGGAGGAGCGAGGGCACCCGGCCAGAGGTGCCCGGAGACACGTGGCTGAAAGCGTGGACAGGCTCCGGGGCTGGCCGGGATCTGGGGGAAGAAGACCAGCAAGGCTGGAGGACCCACTGCCAAGCTTTCATGGCTCGGTGACTGGGAGAACGGAAGGGGGGCATTTCCCAGAAACAGAGAAACCAACTCTCGGTTTGTTCTTTCAGGGAGGGGCCCTGGGAGTCCTGTGGGGTGGGTAGGCCTGGGAAGGTGATTGATGGCCACGTGGATGTGTCTGGGGTCTGTGGGAGAAACCCACAGGGGAGGCCCTGGGGGTTTTGCCGACATAGAGCAGACAGCGGTGGGAGTGGCTGGAGCCCACGGCCCTGGGCTGGAGATTGCACCGCTGCGGAAAGTCTGTCTGTGTGGCCAGCATTTGGACAGGGCTGCGGGCCCATTTGACACAACTGCGTGGACCACTCAGTACCTGAATGAAGAGAAGTCCAGTCAGCACTGGCCCCACTCGCTCCCTCTCTGCCTCCTTCCAAGGCCATCTTTAAAGCTGGGGCCTGGGACTGGAGTGATAGCACAGCGGGGAGGGTGTTTGCCTTGCACGCGGCCAACCCGGGTTCGATTCCCAGCATCCCATCTGGTCCCCTGAGCACTGCCAGGAGTAATTTCTGAGTGCATGAGCCAGGAGTAACCCCTGAGCATCGCCAGGTATGACCCAAAAAGCAAAATAAATAAATAAATAAATAAATAATAAAAAATAACCAAAAAACAAAAACAATAAAAAAACCCCAAAACTGGGGTCAACTGCAGCTTTTATTCTGCCCTCAAGCCTAGCCGCCTTTGATCTGGATGCTGGATGTGCTTATGCCCCAGCAAGGCAGGCATTTGGGGGCTTCTTTTTTTTGGGGGGGGGCGTGCCTTGACCCTGCCACGGGGCTGGCCTTTGCCTGCTGGTCACTGTTGCTCGCTGACTCATTCTGTGTGAGGGTGACAGGCTGTGAAGCTTCTGGGTGGTGCCGGCCGGGCTGAACACCAGACTGGCTGCCTCCTCCTTTGGCCTCCCCCATGGGAACCTCTTGGGGTCTATAAGGATGGAGGACCTGACACATGACAGGAAGTACCTCTCGGCCTCGTCGGGGATGCCCGTTAAAACGCACACTTCTTGGGGTGTCTCCCAAGTGGTACTTGGGAGGCCTTGAGGCCCTCTGGCAGTTCTTGGCCCATTGGTCTGCGGTTCAGTGCTGGGGCCTGAGGATGCAATACTACTGGGCTGTGTGGTGCTGGGGTCCCCAGGACCACCCCGGAGCTGGTGCTGGGAATGGAGCCCCGTTCAGGTGCTTGCTAGGCTTGTGCCCTAACCTCCGTACTTATCTCCAACTGCTCATCCGCGCTAGCCCCAGACACTCCGTTTCTGCCCAGTACCTGGTGAGGGTGACAGCATGAGCCCCGAGAGCATCTCTGAAGTGTGAGGGTGTGGACTGAAGTGCATCATGAAGGGTTCCCATGTGTTCTCTGCTCCCCCCAGCCCCCCAGTTCGAATACCTTTCTGAGGAGACAGGGGACTGGTCAGGGTCCTGGAGAGGGAAGCAGGGAAAGGTGAGACATTTTCCTAGTTCTGGGGTGGGAGAGGGGTCTTACGACCTTACACCTAAGGGTCCCGGAGTCTGATGGAGGAGCTCGGCCTGAGCAGCAGATGGTGAACCTGATGCAGAGTCCCGTTGCAGAGAACCCCGCGTGCTGGGAGCGGTGGGGGGGCAGAGTCTAAGGAAGGAGGCCAGCAGCATGGTGGGTGGGGGCGGGCATCCTTCCTGCACTGCTGACCTTTGTGGCTGTCTGGGCCCCAGCACCAGGCCTGCAGCACCCCTCCTCTCTCCCTTGGCTCCCAGCATCCCTTCTGCTGCCCGGGCGGCCCGCGGCAGGTCGAGCCTGTCTTGCCAGCTCTCCTCCCTGGAAGGCAGAGCCTGTCTGC